TCTTGGACTTTGTAAAGTCTGAGAAAAATATTGCTGACCCTTTGACTAAGGGATTATTTAGGAGTGTAGTTCTAGATTCATCGAGGGAGATGGGGTTAAGCCCATAAATGAGGTCACTGACAGCGGCAACCCAACCCTTATTTGGAGACGTAGTCCCAATGTCGGTTCAATGTGGTAGAAACAAGCTGGACAAGTGACTCTCGTGTGGAGCATCGACCTAGATATATTTATATATCATTATGTAGCATTTACTACTACCCCTTCTATATGATGACGATGCTCTTATGATACAGCTAGCTAGGCTGAGTTTTACTCTTAATAAGTCCAACGCGTGTATTGTGGGGGGTATTAAATAAACAGCTGTAGTACCCTTTGAGGACTTACCTACGTGAGAGGAACCGTGATGGCCGCGGTTGGGGGGCAGGGCTGACCCCTAGAAACTCTCATGAGTCGATTTTTTGTGAGCATGGTCTTTAACGCTCAACCCGCTTAGCTCAATAGATGAAAACGTATTATGTGTGTTTTTATCAACACCTGATCCAAGGGGCCTAATTCAAGGCCTAGTCCATTATGTCCCTCAGGTGGCGATGAACTCACTAAGGAAAGGTTCAAAGCCGAAAGCTACCTCTCCCGAATTCACGATACGAAAGGTTGCCCAACCTATATTTATTCTGTGATTTATTTATTGATTTATTATTTTCAGTCAATATTGCCTTTTGGGGGGACTGTTGGATGTTTTGTTCATGAAAAGGCAATTTTGCCTTTGTGAATAGTCCCACATCGGAAAATGAGATGAATAGTAAAGGGTATATAATGGTTCTCTCCTTATTGGGCTTTGAATAGTATTTTGGGTTTTGTGGGCTTTACATATCTACCACACACGCGCACGCACGCCATGCCTCGCCTTGCCCGCACGCGCGCGCCATGCCGCATCGCACACATTTTTGCATCTCAAGCTTTTATTTTTGCACATTTTACACGTTCTGTAACGGCTGCATGCGGGTAACGGAAGCATGATTTGTGCGTAACGGTCTCTTAGATTTAGCGAGGGTTACACCTCTCCTCACCTATATAAGCAGGCTTGGAGCTCATTCAGAAACACACCAACGAAGAGAAGAACTTCTAAGCTCTCTTCTTTCTCTACTCTCATTACTCCAAGAAATTTCGGCTACATATTTATATTTCTATTTTTTGGGCAACCGTTTTCGTCTGAGCATAAGCTCTGTGACTCACGCCCGAGTGCAAAGGTCGGCCGATTCCGGGGTTTTTACCGCTAGGGGAGAAGGGATAAATTGCGCCAGGGCGATAGGCGGGTCCTTAATCTTCTAGGGCAGTGACATCACAACTGCTCCCGATCAGGCCTGAATTTTCTAACTCTTTAATTTGGATTTTATATTATTTCTATTTTGACAGCAGATTTTTCATATAGGGTCCTCTATAGTGTTATTTTTCCTCTCTCTTTTTTTCCTTTAATTAGTTTTAGTCTTCCTAGTCACAAGACAATTGACCAACACTTATGTTTGCTTGTACCCTAAAGCTCCCAATCTCAAGCAAGTATCATTCCAAACAAAAAACCAATCTCCTCCTTTCAAGATGGCCATTAGCCTTGCTCTTGTCCGCCTCAAATGCCTTTTGAGAGTAGAGAATGATGCCCTCAGGTGGGGGCAACCCCAAAGTGGCAGGCATTATTTCCATAATAAGCGTACGGAAAGAAGTGTGACAAAAAGATGAAGGGGTGATGATTAAGCTTGTAGTAGTGTCATATTGGGCATAATAAGGATATAGAGGATATATAAATCAATAAAGCATGAGAAAGTACACACAACAAACCTAGACTTGAAGCATAGATTGTGGATTTGGATAAGAATATTGCATGAAATCGGATGGTGAGTTGATATGTGGCAAAACAAAGGGAAGGTGAGAGGTGGTAATGATTTGCGTCATGGAAAGTAATGTGAGCACGCATGAGCTCTCTTTCTTAATGAAGTTGAACTAATGGATGGCCAAACCCACTTCACCTAAGTTTTGCCTTTATTAATCTATGAGCATTGCATTTTTAAATGGGAGCACTAAAATAATATTTGGTGGCTGTGACCTTCAAGATATATGGAGGTGGTGACGGTCAACACACAATTAATTACAAGAACCTACATACAATGAAGAGATGACAAAACGTGCGCACTCAACAAAAACTAGGATTTGAACGATGCAGAAACCGTCATCCACATGGAAATTAATGCTCCGAGGACTGATAATCCTCGGGTTTGGAAAATAGACGGTTCATGGATAAATGTATGCATCCAAGATTTCTTTTCCTGGTAACAAATTTGCCACAAATTTGCTAGTATATATTAGCTACTAAGATCAGTCTTGCCCGCATGATGTTATCTTCTCAAGGCACGACAACTGCAAAATGGTTCAATTACCGTTCTTATCACAGATATCTATCAATAATAATCTAATAAGTTAGATATAAACTAATTTTGTCATCATATTGGAAACTAGTGGAATTTGGATGATTTATACTGTAAATTAATCACAAGCATTCATATGGTTAAGTGTAATGATCTTTACAGTTTTATTACAGCTGAAATTTTGAAGTGGTTCGTTACAGGGGAAAAGGTTAGAAGCTTTACCTAGCATGGGAATTTATTGGACTCATTTTAGCAATACTTGCTCTTGGTTTATTTTTTTTTCTAGGCCCATTTGTTTACTTAATTTTACCTATATATCCAATCATTATTACTCGTAACTTTAAGCCCAATTCTCTTTTTGTATTTGTCTTTAAACCCAATTTTTTAAATACAATACTTTCATATGTGGGCCTCCTAAATTTTTTTCTTAATAGCCTTTCAGAGTTTAACTCGTTTAAGTGGGCCCCATTAAAAATTAGAAAAAATAAAGAGAGAGAACCCCCCGCCCCCTCCTCTCCCCCTCTCTCCTTCCTTTCTCTCTCTCTCTCCCACGCTCTCCTCCCTTTCTCTCACTCCATTAATACATTCTTAACAATTGAAGGTATAATTTTGGTGGATATTCTCTACTTCATTAACAATTGAATGTACAATTTTGTAATTTACTCAACTACCAAGTTTATAGCATTAATTTCTAATTTTTTTCATGACAATTATTTGACATTGTTATTTATGAATTCATAAAAATTAGTAAATTTTGTTATATTTGTTAAAATATTAGTTAAATGAGGTTTTAGTCAACCAATCATTAACTTCACATGATTATTTCACATTAGTTATTTCACATGATTATTTCACATTAATTTCTCATTATTATTCATGAATTCATAAAAATTAGTTAAATTTGTTATATTCGATGAAATTTTAGTTAAATTTGATTTTAATATAGAATGATAATCTGTAAGTATAGCATAAAATACAAGACTTGTAAGTATTGCATCATACACTGTAAGTATAACATAAAATCCTGTAAGTATAGCATGTAATCTTGTAGGTATAGTATTATACACTGTAAGTATAGCATGATATACTGTAAGTACAGCATGATATCTTTGATAAAATTTAGTTGTCTTGATTTTAGTTGTCTATCTTTGATGAAATTTTTCTTAAATTTGTTTGTTTTTGGTGACAAACATAGATAGATGAAGAAGTGTATTGTGCATTGACAGATTTTAGAGGAAATAATTACTTTTTAAAATTAAATGTCAACAAGAGTTACAAAGATTTGGCGGTTGCAGTGTAAAGTCTAATTACTTGTAGTGCAAGAACGATACAGTTGTCTTACAAAGTACCCCACACTGAAGAAATTTATGTGCGTGTATGTGATGATGATGATATCTCGATAATGTTCAATATACATCAAAGTTGCAAGGAGAATAATGTTATCATGAACGCTGAGATGAATCGAGAGATATTATTTGAGCAACAAGCTAATACTGTCCATATAATGTAATTTATACTTTTGGTATACTTTCATACTTTTACCATCAATTCTAAAATTCTTATTTTCTTTAACTCTTGTACAACTTTCTTACTGCAGGAAGGTACGAGGTGTACGATTTCCCCACCGTTGAAGTAGATTTGAATGAGCGCACATGAACTTGTCGTGAATGGCAAGTTGTCGGGCTACCTTGCAAACATGCGGCGACGGCAATTCGACAAAATAACAACATTCTTTACTCATATATTTCTCACTACTTTAGTGTGGAGACATACCGCAAATGCTACTCCTTTCCTATATACCCAATTCCTGACGATGACAAGCCGTATATAGATGATGAAAATATGGTGATTCGGTCGCCGACAACATCAATTCTTCGTAGAAGACCAAGGACAAAGTGCATTCCTTCATGATTGAATCCCCATAAAGTTAAAATATAGTAGATGTCAACAGTATGGTCACAACCGTAGAACATGTAGACAACCTATTGTAGTCTACGTAAAATATTGCAAACATGCTATACTTTTGGATGTAAGTCATGCTATACTTTTGGATGTAATACATGCTATACCTACAGGGTATCATACTATACTTACAGGATATCATACTATACTTACAGCGTATCATGCTATACTTACAGTATATCATGCTATACTTACAGCGTATCATGCTATACTTACATATTGCCTTAACACACAAAATAGCTTGAGGATTATCTACTTTCAGCGTAACAAACTGAGAACAATACTTTACATATCAATTTCCAAACATATTGCCTTTACACACAAAATAGCTTGAGGATTATCTACTTTCAATGTAACAATCTGAGAACAATACTTCACAGATCAATTTCCAAACATATTGCCTTTACACACAAAATAGCTTGAGGATTATCTACTTTCAGTGTAACAATCTGAGAACAATACTTCACAGATCAATTTCCAAACATATTGCCTTTACACACAAAATAGCTTGAGGATTATCTACTTTCAGTGTAACAATCTGAGAACAATACTTTACAGATCAATTTTCCCAAAATAGCTTGAGGATTATCTACTTTCAGTGTAACAATCTGAGAACAATACTTTACAGATCAATTTTCCAAACATATATTTATACACACAAATAGACTTTTAGATTATCTACACCACAAATAGACTTTACAAAAAAAATTGCATATCACGGTTGGCATCTAGCATCTAGGGAATATAGGTTGAGGATCACATTGATATCCTGAAATCAAAATATAAGCGGATCAAAAGAACAATAGGCTGAATATACAGTATTTCTAAGAAACCGCATACAACTTTCATTACACTTATGGAAAATATACATTCAAATAGAATATTATACATGTTTGTGTTATACCACTAGAATGTTACTTATCCAACACATATTATATTAGTATAACTTGCAAATATGGCATTGCTTATGAACAACCAAACTAGCACATACTTGTATTTTTCAATTTTTTAGCATGGTATATTTGATTACGCCAATCAAGTCATTAATTTAGCAGTTGCTTGTGCATTGTGCAAATGGTTAGTGCCTTCAAGAAAAAGATTCACATACAGATTCGTAGTGGTCCGTTTTGTTAGACCCATTAATACACTCTTTGGTCTTTACTGGGGGGCTACATGTTATTTTCTTGTGAGTCATTTCATTAATAAAAATGAAGGACATAGAAAAATGATAGTGGACATCTAAGTGTTTTCCTTAATTGAAGAAGAAAATATTCTGATGTTAGTTTTCCTTGAGGAAGAGATAATTAATCAGCATATACGCATGAGCGAATACTTAAGGGTTGTTTTGGCTTATTGATCTTGATTTTGAAAATTTGGAATTGTAAGAAATCTGAAAATTCCCAAAATTTTCAAATTAGGCAAGATTTCCAGCAAAATAAAATTCAAAACTAACATTTCCAGCAAGATTTAGAGCAAGATTTCAATCTTCGAGCAAGAGCACACCTCCACAGACTGGGACAGCGACGGGTGACGGACAACGACCAAGGCGAAGGGCGACGAGCGACAGCGACGGAGTCAGACGACGGTCTCGAGAAAAGGGGGGTTTTGGGTTTTTCAATTAGGGCTGAAAATGAAACGAGGGAAAATGAGGAGAGAGAATCGGGTTTATATGGGACTAATGAATGAGGTATTTTGGGAATTTTACCCTGTTTCTGTATAAATACAAGTGATTTAAGTATTGTATTTTTAAAATTGGGTTTAATGATAAATACAAAAAAAAATGGGTTTAAAGATACAAGTAATAATGATTGGGTTTAAAAATAAAGTAAATTTATTCCTCTATAATAATAGGAGGATCCAAGATTCACTATTCATAACAGTGAGAATCTTTTTATACCTTTTCATGATATGCATCTCTTCTTCCGAAATGGGCCTCAGTAGGCCGGGGACTAAGGAGGCAGCGCCCTACTTAAAGTGCAGTTTGACAAGAGTTTTGGCACACAGATGATCTGCACCAATTTATATTGTTTTGACATAGACAAGAAACATGAAAAATATTAGCTCTAGCATTAATCCACAAAAAGGAATATCAAAACTAGTCTTCACAAAGTAACCCAGAACGGCCGCATTTTCCCTAGAAGTATACTCAGTGTTGTCATTTCTAAGCTTACATTCGACATAATTTATGGGTAAAAATAAGCTAAATAACAATACAGTAATAATAACATACAAATCATGTCTCATGACGCGTCGTCTTTCTCCTCAGAATTGAGATAATACATTACTTGATCAGCTGCTCTGAGTCCTGATAATATTGCTTTGCCAACAGATAGTCCATCTCTATGGTTTCCTGCAAATATAGAATAAAACAATGCTTAAGCCAAATAACAATAGAGCGACCATTTATATGCCCCATTCAGTTTACAAAAATTAGAAATAATTAAGAGAATAAAAGACGTCATAGTGCATATAATAGTCGTCAATATGAAGCATTAACTATCTGCAATCTTTTTCTTTTTTAAATTAAGAGTGAGGTATCAATGTAAGGCTGTAAGCATTTTCTGCAGTGTTAAGAAGGATGTACAATTATGCACGTATAAGGGCAGAATGAGAATGTAACAAATTGCAGCAGTCAGAAAATCAAGTAAAAGAACTGAATCAGGGTCCTTTTAACATTGGAAGAATATTGATACTTTTCATCAAATGTTACATGCCATACTTCTCTATCAAAACCAGCAGAGGAGAACTGATTTATATTAAGTATAGTTTCCCCAAAAATATCTAGAGTAGATAATAATATCAAAGTTCAAGCAGTAACTTGCCTGCATAGTAAAACCCTGGAAGATTTTTCTCCATTTTGTCTATGGCTTCCATAACTAGACCATAGTCACGACCATACAAAGGAAAAGCATTCCTCCAGTAGATATGCCTGCAATGATATATCAATATCACGATTTACCACAGAAATAAAGTGAGATGGAAAAAGGATATAAGCAGAATAAATTTAGAAGAAATATTTTCGTTACTTTACAAATGTTGGTGGTCCCTCTGCACCTAACAGTTTCCTAAGGTCAGAAGTCACAACTTCTTCCAGCTTATCCCTGTATTGTTCACATTTATTATATAAAAAAGAGGAAGTGAGAAAAAAGGGTTGAGACAATATTAATCTTAAGCAGGAAATATCCAAAAAAAAAGACTCGAGCCAAGGTATCTCATACAAAGAAGCGCTAGCTAGCTCACGATTGCGACTCCCCCCAACAAAGGTCGTGTACAGGTATTGATCCTTAGGAGCTCGGTCTGGAAACATCATCGATGAAAAAAGAGTGCCTAAAAAAAGTAACTTTCACTTTATGTTGCAACTAAACCATTTAATATGAGAGAGAATCTTACAAAGAACAAACAGTTTCATTTAGCATACTTTCATAAAAGGCTTACCAAGAGTCTTAAGACCATTTTCCTGCTCCTTGGTAGGCACTAGAACTCCAAATCCCTCCAGCGGTCTCTTGACGTCTTCTTTTTTGTATGATGTGATCAGGACTGATAATGGCAGATAATTGATCTGTATAATGAAGAACATATACAATCATTTCAATGCTCTTATATGCTGTCAAGGGCCAACCAACTAGCTCAAAACTCGTGATCAAAATCGAGAATCATGAATCAGATCAAAAAGCTACACGTAAATTCCTAATACTATCTCATGTCCACAGCCAGTATTAGCTCAAATCTTGGCATATTATGTTTTGAGTAAACATAACATAAGTCTTCTCAAGGCACGTATTTCAAACTTTTGAGGTACTGTAGCAGTACATATTCTTGTACAAGAGAAGAGTTTTCCACTCCATTAGAGCTACCAGTACATGTAGCAAAAAACTCATGCCTCGAGTTGCCTCAGCGGAAAAAATGAACAGTTGTTCTGTTAGAAAACTATATCATCACAGACCCAAAAAAAAAAAAATCCTCTAAAGATAATACTGTAAATGATTGGAGATGAGAAGAGGTTGGAGGGGAAAAAGAAACAGAGGAAGAAGGGATTCCATCAACATTTTGCACTAAATACAAAAGCAATAAATTGAGAAAAGAAGGATTCATTACTCCAATTTCTTTTAGATAAGCTTAAATAACATCCCTTAAAACTAGACCTCCCTAAACAACTCTTACAAGGTCAATGAAAATTGCTTTAAAATGTTTGCTAACAGATAACAACTAGAAGAGCATAAATGATTATGAACTCGAAAATCAAAGCGAAACAAGACATCAAGATATATAATAGACTCCTACATATCACATGCTTATACGATAAAATATTAAACTAGAAGGTACTGTGTACAATATGATATGGTGCATTAAATGTAAAGTGCAGGATCCTGATATCAAACATGGGATGCATAAAAATTACCTTTGGAAAAAAGTCAAGCACAAAAGGATTTCCTCTGTTGGTGAATTTCATCTCTTGGACATTACGAAGCGGGGCCTGAACAGAAGGAAGAATGAAAACAAATTAATTGTCAAATGAAAGCTGCTGAGCAAATGAATCAACTTCAACTATGACCGCATCTTATAAGCTAATAGCAGAAAGAATTATGATAGCGACAACCACCTCAATACTGTTTGCTAGCTCATGGTTATCTACTCTCCCAAAAGATTTTATTCGAGAAGCAATCTAAATTGAACAGGTTATAGCGTAGGTCAAAAAATCATATGCCCAATGAGCATAACAGCATCAGCCCTAGCTGTGCCAAATTTCAGTGAAGTCATGCACTTGCCAGTAAGCCAAAATCAAGGCAACTTAGCAGATATGGAAATCTAACTTATCAGTGGCATAGCTTTAAAATATGCAACTATGAACAAACTACCCAAATTCTCCTAGAATAAGAAAAGAGAAAGATAATAAATTTGGTAGATAGGAATAACATATAGTTATTGGCAGAATCCTGTGGATCTTCTAATCAACCCTAAAATAAGGAATCATGACCCCCAAACTTGCTTCATATGAAGTGTTTAACATGCATAGGGCCATCAAATGAATTAATAATAATAATAATAATAAAATACTTTCTAAACCAATGTGTACCAGGTAACAGGTTATCTGATAACTAAAGCCTGTGGACTATCTAAAATTTAAAGAAAATTAACCATAAGAGACACTAGATGTTTTATTGCATCAAGCCATGAACTTCCTTTACCGTCATTATGATAGCATCAAAAGATTGGTCCAGGTCCAATTCACTGCCACCTTTTCCACTATAAGAAATTGACCAACTCTTAGATGGATATCTCCCATCAAGATCATAAGATAATGACAGCACCTTTGAATCTAGCTTCATACTATCCTTATCAAGTTTCGCACATAGCATGTTAGTTAGTGCCTGCAGATTAAGTAATACAAAAATATTATCAGGCTATGAAAAAAATTAAAACAGGAAGCCTAATATATAATCTAATTCCCCAAATAGTATGAAATACAATCTCCATATGATGGAGGTCCAGGTGCATAAGTGTTTCTAAGCCCTACCTTTTACACTATAAAACTAGGTTTTATTTGTAATGTCACTGATCCTCTATATAATGATCATACTATATGATGTCATGACCAGGAGTTTAACTAATCAAGTTTGTTCTACCAGCTATTTCAAGACCTACGCAGGAAAATCATCGAATAAAACATACTGAATGAATTTGTTTTACTGGTGCCAGCGATGTTTACCGAGATATAGTTCCACAGTGGTAAAAGAGTAAGGTTTATGATCTCCTGGCATGTTAAACAAAATACTGTAAATTTATTCTGGTCTTTATCACATTCATTTTCACCATGTCTATAGATTCACAAAGTTTTTGGTTAGAGATTGCATACTGTTGTCCTTAGTGTAAACACGGCTACCGTACAGTTTGTTTGAATAGTTTAAGTATGTGGAGTTTCATGCAAGATACACACAAAGAAAACTGACCTCATGAACAGGACAACATGACCTCAGGTTTACAAAAAAAACATTGATATTTGGGACATAATAACGTTGTATTTTGTTACTGAACCTCATCAGGCATTCCAATCCAAGAAAGATTCATGTTCAAGCTGCGAACATAGAAATAAGAATTAAAATGTAGGGTCCAGCTTTATGAAAAGAATAGAAATTAAAGAATATAAAATGTTACGAAGGCTGGCAAAGTTCCTATACAAAGTCCCTCTCAACAACAAATGAAAAAGAAAAACTAAGTTAATATCTACATGCAAGGAAAGATGAATCAATTGTTCATGGACATTGTTTTTTTTTTTTGGAAAAACTTTCCAATTCAACTCTCAATGTTGTGATACTTTATACTAAAGTACGTAGGCACATGTATAATGGATTATGGAGTTATACTGAAGAGTGAGATCAATGAGAATATAACTAACATTGTAACAAACTATTAGCAACAGTGCAGGATATTTGTGTAAATGGTGATCAGGTAGTGCATACTGTAAATGATCGAAGGGTTATAAAAACATAAATATAAATTTTATTACACAATTCTTTTGGGCAAGAAAAACTTTTCTTATAACTAGCTTAAGGGGCTGTTTGGTTCGCTATTATAAGGGGTGGAAAACTCAGAAAACCCCTCCACGTCAGATTTTTAGCCCTCCACGTCAGCTTTTTTGTTTCCGTCCATTTCTTTGTGCCGCTTTGGTTCGCTCGAATGGAAGAGGGAAAACTCTGCTGAAATTGCCGCCAACTAAGATTTTTTTCCCTCTCCGATTTCCTTCCCCAACCAAGTGAAATTGATGAAAACTCTGTCACGTCAGATTTTTTTCCCTTCTCTGCTTTGTTTACAAAAGTTTTCCTTTTTTTTCTATGCGAACCAAACACAAGAAAAATAAATACATTGGTTTCCCACCATTTTTTATGTGCGAACCAAAGCAAAACAATCTATTTCTTGGAAAAGTTTGGAAAACTCAAAACTTGTGTTTCTTTACATGGAATTGCATTTCTCTATGTCAAGGAAACGAACCAAACAGCCCCTAATAAGAAACTTTTCAATTATTTTTCAGAGGAATTGTTCAATAAAAGTTATGTTCATTTTTTATAATTCTTTAATCATTTTACATTATGTGCCACCTGACCACCATGCACATAGATGTCCTGCACTGCTGCTAATATTTTGCATATTGCAGTTGCTCTTTACATTGTCAGTTATGTCGTAATCGATCTCATTTTTTAGTATTACTCAATAATCCATTATACATAAGCATACATACTTCAGCAAAGAGAGGATTCAAATTGAAGATTGAATCTGAAAGTTTTTCCTCCCCAAAAGAATGTCCATGGAAGATTGATTTGTCCTTTTTGCATTTAAATTTTATCTTAGTTTTTCTTTGTTGTGTGTTGTTGGAGGATCTTACAATAGGAATTTTGCGAGCCTTAGTAAGAGTTTATATTCTTAATATCTATTCTTCTCATAAAAACTAGACCCTAAAGCCTAATTCTTATTTCTCTCTTCTTGCAGCTTGAGCGGGAATCTTCCCTAAACTGGAATGTCTGATGATGTTTAGCAGTGAAAGACAAAGCTGTCATTTCTCCAATGTCATTATTTTTTTTGTAAACCTGAGGTCAGATTCTAATGGTTACAAAATCAACAGGTTCTAGTAATGAACACATGCAATCACCAGTCTATGAAAATGTGCATCCATATCACATCATTTTTTCTAGCGAATTGTTTGTTTAGGAAACCTTACAAACAATGTCAATCAAATGATGAAGGTTTAAAGACTGGAGTTTTAGACCATCCTCTGTCTCCCTCTCACCCCTCATTCTCTTCACCACTCTTTCACTCTCCCTGTCTCCCTTCCTGTCTCTCTCCCCTCCACCCCAACTAAAAAAAGAACCACACCTCTTCCCTCTATGTCAAAATTCACTTTACAAAGACGCTTAAACTAAGCTGTTGACTGATTGTAGCCCAAACCAAACAAATGTGGCATATAAGTATGTAACACTCCCCTCATATTGGTATTTCAGCATGCGACTAATATCCGTCAGAAAGATAAGAGTTTGCTTGTTAATTATGAATCCTTGTATATTTCTAGAAACTAATTCTACATTAGAACAGTTGAAAACTTATTGTAAATATCCAAAAAAGGTGGTTGCACGGTTGTGTATGTATGTAGAAAAAGAGAGCCAACTGCAGTTACTGCACATACATGCAGGGAAATGGAAGGCAAATGATGTTGCATAAGCAATGGACCTAAGGGTTCAAACTCAAAATAGATTCACCTGCATTCCACCTTGAAAGGAAAATGAACCTCGTTGCTTTTTCTTTTGCAAAGAAGCTGGAGTTTTTCCTGGTGCAGTATCTTTGGATTTCGCAGATGTTCTAGATCGGATAGCCCCAATAATGATTGAACCAAACCTGGTAGCATTTAGAAGCATACAAGAATGTCTTGTAATCAGTAATCTTAATTTCAAAGTAACCACAGGAGAACACTCTCCAAAAGAAAGGAATCTACATTTTATATATATCACTTATCAATAAACTAATATCTGATATTCAATTAAAAGAATACGGTGATACATCGAGATGAGGGCAACATACCTCATCTGTCACAGGTCAAGAAAAAATCAAAATAGTTCAAAATTAAAGCTAACTTTACTGAATTATCATAATTTTCACAATGATTCACACTCTACCATTTGATCTAACTCTATCATGTTTGAGTCGGTCTGTTTCTGTTTCTAATATTAGCTGAATCAATCCAGGGTTTTGTTAATAGTTGGAATTGTGCTTCAGTTTCGAATTGGTTTCAGGGTTATTGCTAGTAATTAAGTGACTATGATTAAAAGCCATCAAGAGTGCAAGTTATCCACTTATCCTACTCATCGATCATACAAGGGGCGTTAATGGGAGAAGATTTCAAAAGGACAAGGTGGAAAGTCTGGGGATTGATGTTAGTGGAAGAAGATTTCAATGTTTAGCGTTAGTGCGAAGGGATTTTAAACCACAGGTATTTGGATTAAGTCATATCTTCATGTACTCAAAAGCCACAGTACACAGGCTTCTGGACCAAAATCCCAATTCCAAATCAGAAGCAGACCCCTAGACAAATCGTTGACCAGA